TTGCTCCTAGTAGCGATGCCAGGAGTCCCTAGTAGCTTCTTATTCCTAGTAAGGCCAGGAGCCCGTAGTAGCGTCCTTGCTCCTAGGTTGTTGAGCATGCTTCATAGGTTTGTGTCTTTTGTGTTGCTTTTTGCTCACGGTTCCTTCCACTCTATCGATCCACCGCGGTGCGATCCGCAAAGGGATGGCGTTCATTTCTGGGCCCCAGCTGGATCTCCACACAGTCCACCGCATTCCCCACCTGAGCTTGGAGAAGGTATGAGAAGGTCGAAGAGGGTGCTGGATAGAGTGGATGGTCTCACCAACACCTGGAATCGTCTGATTTCTTCAATGTGTCCCGGAGTCGTGAAAAGTCTGGAATCCGAGACTAAGAGTGTACCGTTGTAGACCCTCTCCGAGACAAATGCTTTTTCATGCTCCGTTTGTAGCGTCTTTGCTCCTAATAGTAAGGCCAGGAGCCCCTATAGTATAGCTTCTTGTTCCTAGTAGTAAGAATGCTCCTAGTAGCGATGCCAGGAGCCCCGTTCGTAGCGTCCTTTGCACAACGCAACGTCGACCTCTCTCGGATCTCTCAGGTCGACCGATCCAGAGATCTGCTTCACTGCGCCCTGCCAGTGTGCGGGTCGCGTGCGGGACGGTTTCCATGACCCCGGCTGCCCATCCGGTGATGCTTCGAAGTGGAACGTCGGATCTTCACAAAGTTGGGCATTGTCTAGTAGGTTGGTGAGCAAGTTGTCATTGCTATTAAGTTTCTTAAAGTCCCTATTATAAGATATAATAAGTTTGACATTAATTGACAGGTCGGCTCACCCCAGAGAGGCCGTTTTCTTTTTGAACGTTGGGTCAATGAAGCGATGTTGGGTTAACCACTGGGCCCTCTTATTCTCTATCGCTGCAATCCCTGAGCTTCCTGACAAGTCAAGCAGGTCATGCAACACCAGCTGTTGGAGTGTTTCGCATCTTTATATACTTGTATTGTCGTGGTGGCATCTCCGGATTGTCGTGGTTGGAGTTTGTCCATATGAGGGAACCTTCACGCGGAGGCCTTGAGCGGCGGCGCCCAATACGCGATGCTCGGTTCATCCTCAGGTGTAGCCCAGCTCACTCAAACTCGACCGAAAAATCGGGATCCAACGAAACAAACAAGCATTAAGGGGTCAAGTATGGGCGTTATGACAGATGTTTCATGCGTGTCTTTCATCTAGCCGACAGAAATGGAAGTCGACAATCCGAAGAGTGGCTCACAGCTGCATGCTGCATACTGCATACAGATCACCAGTCTCCAAACAAAGGGAGACAGTCTGGAGTCTGGAGTAGTTGGTCACTGCATGCATGCAAGTCAGTGAAGTTTGAGGGCTCAGCACTTCAGCCAAGCTTGTAGCTAAGTGCATTACCAATAACAAAAAGCTACTAGTAGCTATATTTGCTATGCATGCTATACTAGTAATGCACTTGTTCCTAGTAGCGATGCACTGGTTACTAGGAGCTCAAAACCACTTACTTCAAATCCGCTTCTTTGCCGTTTGCGGTGGATTCGCCGGGCTCTGCCAGGCCGTGGCGTTCGCAGTTGGTGCCACCTGGGGATGGATTCGACCAAACGAATCACACGGTCCGTGACAATTCCGTGTTCACAGCTTGCGACAGCAATGTGGGAAACGAAGCGGAAGACACACGCACCCCCCCAAAGCCCCCTTTCAATCACGCACTTTTGAGGCCGTGAAGGAAATCAGGGTTTTGCCTCTTGCTTCCGAGGTCTCATGGTGTCTCGGAGTCAGTGCTCGCCACATTGTGCGGAATTGGAACAGGGTCCCCTTCACGGTGTTACCGTGAAAGGACCTGTTGAAAAGTGTCCGAAGATCAGTTGATGCCAGGCCAGTCTTTGTAGAATTCTATTCCCATTGAACATGCCATTAACCAAAAATGATTTTGGGCCGTGCAGAAGTCTGATCTTCAAATGCGAAAAGGGTACAGTGCATAAAGATGCAAAAGGGTTCTGCAACCTAGGCTCGGACATCTTCACATTCAAGCACGCATCAACGGCATGGCCACCAGAACTGCTGCGAAAGCAACGGCGAGGGGAGGAGCGTGCGAGCTGGCTTTGCCTGTCTCATCATCAAGACTCGTGGTGGTCTCAGTCGCGGAGCTCGTGCTGTTGCCGCCTGTGGTGCCTGTGGTGCCATCATCGCCGTCATCGCTCGTGCTGTCCATGGTCATGGTCGTGGTCATTGAGGTGGTGCGCGTTGTGGTCGCCGTGGTAGTGTTTGTCATAGTACTGACCGTGGTGGTCGTGGTGTCAAGGGTGCCACCAAAAATTTTGGCTTCGAAACTGGTAGCGATCTTTCGGCCATCTGCTGACAAGGCAATAGACCTGAAGCTTTGTGCCCATCTGACTTCGACTGCTGACCATGTGGCACCACCATCCATGCTCACAGCAAGCTCATCGGTGGAATACGCCAACGCAGCAATGATGTCGCCACTCTCTGACATGGCAACGTCCGCCCAATACAACCAGCTTTGCCACGCAAGGCCGGTACTGGTCTCTTGCCAGGTCGCACCAGCATCGGAGCTCAGCCAAATGCTGCTTTGCCCCGCCTCAACAGGCTGCGCCACCATCTTTGTTCCATCAGCTGACATGACCACCCGACGCCATTTCTGAGTTGACCCAACGCTGGTGTCCTCTTGCCAAGTGGCACCACTGTCGGAGCTCACCCAAATGTTGCCATCCTCGACCGCCGTCACGATCTTGGTGCCATCAGCTGACATGGCAATAGCGTTCCACTTTTGATTCACACCCGAGGCGGCACTGAGAAGCTCTTGCCATGTGGCCCCACCATCAATGCTTAGAACAAGCTTGCCTGGATTCGCTGCTCCTGCAATCTTGGTGCCATCGCTTGACATGGCCACACCATTCCAAGACCGGCTTTTTTGGTTCTCTGTCCAAGTGGAACCACCATCGGAGCTCACCCAGATCTTGCTGCCACCGGCACCCGCAACCATTTTGCTGCCATCGGCCGAAACTGCACAAGATTTCCAGTGCTGCGGGCCTGATCCTCCTTCGTACTCCACCCAAGTGGCCCCAGCATCAGAACTGGTCCAAAGGTTGCCTCTGTTGTTACCATCTGGTGCCAGCCTCGTATTGCCATCCAGTGTCATGCAAATGCTCTCGATCCACATATCGTCTGGACTTGCCGTCTGCTCCGTCCAAGTCACCACCAAGGACTCGCACTGGGGGGCCAGAAAGAAAGGCGCGAAAAGAACCAGTGCGCGAATCATGGCGTCGTTGGGACAGTGACTGACTAGCTGAGCAGCTTCAAGTGAAATCACGTTCTGAGCCAAGTGGGTAGCTTCAGCGCATCATTCCACCAAGAGGCACCTTGAAGCAATAATAGTACAATGATGAAATATTCGTGGTATCAGATCATATCATTCATGTTCAGCAGTTCAACTGGCACCCCTGTCGTGACTCGTGTCCAAACACTTCCAGCTGAGGCTCCCCACAAGCTTGGTGACGATGCGCCAAGAGGACCGGTGCAGATGCCAAAGGTCGACAGGCAGAAGGCGTTGAGATGGGCGTTGAGATGGGCAGCAAGCAGAGTGGTTCTACCACTCATGACTATCAAGCTGATACACTCAAAACACCTTCCATGATAAGTAATGACTGTCCAAAACATGAAACATCTAAAACCTTGACCAAGCGTCACCCGTCCGGCCTTTTCTTTCGCCCAATCCCGTGTCCACCCGTCGCTCCCTGTGGGCCCAAGGGGCGACGTTGTCGAAGAGCGTGAGGGTGTCAGAGGGCGCCTCGACCGTTAAGCGATGGCCTCAAACCCACTACGGATGGCCTCCAACGGAAGCACCTGAAGCGAAAGATGCTTCTTCGGAGACAGCTGTGAAACTGTGGAATACCAGCACTACCAGGGAGCTTCAAGATCTGACTCTTTCAATTGATTGGCTGAATATATTCAGACTCACTGAATCCACGTATAGTTTTACAGTTTCTTCGTCAAGTATCGCACGGCTCGTGCCTTTCTCTCATAGCCATGGCCACGGCGAGTGCTCGCGGGCGGTGACATGTCCGTGTCGGAGGAGCAGGTGACCTGGCTGGGAGTCGAACGCGGACAAAACGCCTGTCATTGGTAGGAGGCCATCGCTATTTATAACTCAAAAGAAGACAAGATTGTTGTAGTTTAAAAACGTATATAAAAATATGAATTTAATAAATCTATAAATACATATATTATATTATACTGCTGTGTTGCGACTCTGCGGTTTGAGGATTCCGTCGCCCACATGTGAACAGCTCCTTTTCGCGATATGCTTGTTATCTTTCATGCAAGGGCAGTAAGGTCTCACTTTCACCGTGTTCACTCACAACAGCTTTCTCTATCCAGCCGGTGGTTGAAGCCTTTTGAAGGACATCGTTTTTCCAAAATCTCACTATGCCATCTATTTGTTCTAGGATCTAGCCTCAAGTGGTTGATGGCATTTCCCAAGCAGAGTCACAAATTGATGGCATAGGTGTTTTGCGAGTGCCATCGAAGTGTGATTCCCTAATATTCACTATATACATATTACTATATGTATTTTATCGCACCAACGAGTTCGCTTTCTCCCGCGCGCCACGGCCTTCTCGTGGTCCTTCTCCTGACGACGCATCGATCGGGAGCCGATCGGAGTCGGTTCGTCGACAAGGCCATCGCTACGAACAGAGCGATCGGACGCAACGAACGGGACTCTCCTGGCATCGCTACGAACGGAACAAGGACGCTACTAGGAGCAAAGGGCATTACTATTAGTACCATTCTTACTACTAGGAACAAGAAGCTACTAGGTGGAGGCCATCACTAGTAGGTTGGAGGCCATCGCTACTAGGAGCAAGAAGCTATTGAGTTGAGTTTTTGAGTTACTACTAGCGATGGCCTCCAACCTACTAGCGATGACCTCCACCCTAGTGGCGATGGCCCCTATGGATTCTATTGATGTGTCTTCTGGAATTCCACCAATAGCTTTTACAAGAATATGAATCTTAGTACTTAGTATCTTCTAATATTCTCACAACTGAATTTCAAAAATGGATAGGGAAATATATCGTCCTACGGCATTAGTATGTTATTATGTCACATTATGTCTGTGTTTCTTGTTTTTGGGTGACCAACATTCGAGTAGTATTTGCAGTATTGGCCAATCCGGTGATTTTGATTGATTGACGAAGCAAACTAGAGATGTGTCATTCCAAAACACTTCATCGCTGCTTCATTGCTCAAGGCGCGTCTTGACCCAGTCCCCTTGTGAGAGTGAAATTGTCAACAAATGCACGAAACGGGCGGTTTTCAGGAGCACTCTTGTAGCACAATTGTTGGACTAGTTTGGGGCGTTGCATTTGCGGTGTAGTTGTAACGATGAAACCGCACACCGGCTCTCCTCCAGCCAAGGATGGCGAAGACAACCTGAGTCGCGGCGGAATCCAACAAAATGCATCCACACACGCACACACATGCAATCAATCACATATAGCAAAAAAAAAAACATGCAATCAATCACATATATAATAAGGATGATTAAGGCATAAAACCTTAGTGTTCTTTGGCACCTGGGGGGGGGTTCTGCTGAGTCGCTGTCTATGCTCTGTAAGGCATGCGCTGGACTCGTTGAGCCGATCCGCCGGATCCACGCACAGCAGACCTTGCCTCGAGGAACAAGAAGCTACGAACGGGGCGCTCCTGGCCTTACTACTAGGAACAAGAAGCTACTAGTAACAAGTGCATCGCTTCTAGTAACAAGTGCCTTACTAGTAGTAACAAGAAGCTACTAGGGGCTCCTGGCCTTACTACTAACGCTACGAACGGAACAAAGGGCATCGCCACTAGGAGCGATCGGACGCTACGAACGGGGCTCCTGGCTGTACTACTAGGAGCAATGTTCGCTACCAGTAACAAGAAGCTACTAGGTGGAGGCCATCACTAGTAGGGGTTGGAGGCCATCGCTACTAGGAGCAAGAAGCGACGGCCGTGTTCGAAGCGACGGTCACGACGGCTTCAGCCGACCGAGGCCATTGTTGCTCGTAGCTTCTTGTGACTACTAGTAAGGCACTTGTTACTATTTGTAGCGTCCTAGTAGCGTCCTTGCTCCTAGTAGTAAGGCCAGGAGCCCCCAGTAGCTTCTTGTTACCAGTAGCGACGCTGAGGCTTCAGCACCATATTCTTGGCTTCCTCTGAGAGTCGTTGCCAGGCCTCACCAACAAAGACGTCCCTTGCGGACAAGATCTTCATGTCACGTCATCCTGCATTTCTAAGTACAGCACTTCTTTTCGTTGTGGTGATCCAAAGGCATACAACTAAGAGCACCTAATTCGCCTCAAAGCTGTCACAGAACATCCTTGTCTGGAAAGAGCCAAATGAATTCTCTGTCTTCCCACTGCCAGTTTAGAGCACGACATGACACGAACCATTTCCAGCTCAGCAGCCGGACTCCTCCTGGGTTGAGCTGCCCCCGCGCGATGCGCTTGATGTCTGCCACGCCTAGCATTGAGCAACTGTGCGGCTTCTGGATCATCGGTTCTCCAATATCGTGATCATGATACAAGAAGCTACTAGGAGCAAAGGGCATCGCTACTAGGAGCAAGGAAGCTACTAGGGGCTCCTGGCATTACAACTAGGAACAAGGTTTGCCATTAGGAACAAGAAGCTATTAGTAACAAGTGCCTAACTAGTAGTGACAAGGTTTGCTATTAGGAACAAGAAGCTATTAGTAACAAGTGCCTTACTAGTAGTAACAAGTGCCTTACTAGTAGTAACAAGGTTTGCTACTAGGAACAAGAAGCTATTAGTAAAAAGTGCCTTACTAGTAGCAACAAGTGCCTTACTAGTAGTAACAAGGTTTGCCATTAGGAACAAGAAGCTATTAGTAACAAGTGCCTTACTAGTAGTAACAAAGTTTGCTATTAGGAACAAGAAGCTATTAGTAACAAGTGCCTTACTAGTAGTAACAAGTGCCTCACTAGTAGTAACAAGTGCCTTACTAGTAGTAACAAGGTTGGCTATTAGGAACAAGAAGCTATTAGTAACAAGTGCCTTACTAGTAGT